CTGTTGCTTTGCAATGAAAAGAAGCGCTTGCTGAATTGTAGTAAATTCTGTAGAGAAAATAGAGCAAGTTGAGTGCAATTAGATGTCCTCAATAATGCTGCCGCGAACAAATGCTAATTCGAAATGATCATTAGACATGGATCTAACGGTAAATTAAGGAGTAAAATCGTTGTAAATACGTCAACGCTCATAGAAGGGTTTTCTGTAGGTAATTTTACTCTTTTGTCACTATTGTTAGAAAGTGGGAAAATATTCAGGAGTTCCGATTTTGCATTTTACCACGAAGAAACAATGAAATCTCACCAGTTTTAGGTTTCAAATCATTCAATGAATACTTTTCAAGATATCAGCGAATACGCAAACCAAAAAGTAAAATGGGAGATGGCCTTGTTTGGTTCAGAGGAAGATGGAAATTATTCTGTAGAAGGATGTGAGCAGGATGGCATGGTGACACATGAGTTGAAAAATAGTCACGTCTGGCTTTAAATGATGATTCCACATAATCTGCATACAAGCTGTTTACTGTTGAAGTACTGAAAGCACTTCGGAAAGTCGTGAAGCGTCGTGGTGTACAGATCCAGCCTTGCCAACACAGAAGATCATGCTACACTATAGTAGATGAAGGAACCATAGTCAGATCTAGGCCTAATTATGCCTTATAAATGTCGAACACTGAAGACAATCAGCGCGCCAAGAAAGGAAGAAAAGGGCTTTAAGCAAGTTCAGGTTTAAACATTCGTTCTTCAAATATATATTGCCAGAAAGGAGAGTTAACTTCACATCAAACATAAGATCAAGAAATTTGACGTCTGATAACACCGGGATCAGGCATTTCTCGAGGTGGAGCTCTGGATCAGTATGTAGGCGTCTTTTACGAGAAAAATGGTCCGAAACGCGACAGCAAATTATTGATTAATGTGGGAAGACGATACTGAGCTTGTCATAACTGGTACACTTCACTGAACAGACTACTGACACTTTAATTAAGATTCAATAACACGCCGAACAAGTATTAATTTAGAAGTCAAACAACAAAAATCAGCGTTACATTTTCAAATTTTCACAGGACTAGTTTCGATGGTTTTACCGAACCATCATTCTCAGCTGTAAAAGCGCAAGTGAACAAGATAAGATATAGTGATTAAATAAGATAAGATAAGAAAAACTTAAAAGGAGTTAAGCTACTGGCGCCATCTGTTGTTCTGTGATCTGAAACATAGAAGTCTTCTGTTGTTCAGCATTGTTGGTCCGAAAATCACACTTTAAATTTTTCTGCAGCCAAAATTATTCAAAAAACATCTTCCATTGGTGAATTAGATTTTATAGAGGCAGTTCACATTCAAAAAATCTTTCTGTTCTAGGAAACGACCCTAATTCCAATCCATCTTTGCCTTCAGCCTTTAAAGAAATTATGTTTTAGGTGTGTCCTGCGACAAGCTTACCACTTATATGGGACATATGCTCATGCCACCCCTCCAGGCCCACGGTCTAGAAAACAGATATCAGAGCACTGTCGGCCATGGCTGTCTAAGAGCTGTTTGTGTCATTGGGATTAGTTTATTTTAATGGATTTTAAGTTTTGTCTCCATTGCTGTAAATGACGACTAATTGGAACTACGGATACTGAATCAGTGGACATGGAGCCATGGCTGTAGACATGTTTTATAAAATGCACATATTTAGTAGCTTAGAAAGAACAAAGCAGAAGCAGAAACGTCTTATGTAAGCGCAAATAATAGAATGGATTTCTGAGCATTTAACTGAATTGCGCAAAGTACATTTTATGTGAAATTCATGGAACTGCTTATTTATTATTGTAAATAATAATAATAATTATTATAATATATTATGATTATTAATTATAATATATTGGGAATGCAAAAATGAACCTGAATGCATGAATTGCGTACAAGCGAATTACAAATATAAATTAGCTTTAGAAACTAAGCATTCGAGCTTAGATAAAAATTGCTCTTGTTTTAGAAGACAAATGGATCTCATAATAAGAAGAACTGATTATGGGTAATGCTCCTATAAAAGAAGAGGAAGGAAAAGAAAGGAAAAAAAAAAAAGAAAGAAAAATGAATGATGGGCAATCTTGGATTATGAACTATTATTGACTATTGTATATATTTATATGTAAAAAACAAATTGAAAAAGTTATTCATTTTGTTAAATAGTCTCTGTGTATTATAAAAATTTATTTGACAGATTGTATATTGTTGTACAAATAATCTTATTTACCACAAAGATGTCATTTGTTATAATTAGTATTATTGTATATGAAAAAGTTTGGACTCTTCCTAAGTTTGGAGTGTGTTATTTTTAAATAATTAAAATTATGTATTATTATATTTTTGTTGTAACAAGTTGTTTCATTAATAAAGTTTTTAATTTGTTGGCAAGGTTAATGGATCTTCTGGCCAGTAATGGGTGCAGTATGGTGGTTGAATTTATATTCAATTAGTAGTTTCAATAAGCCCTGCATATACTGCAAAGGTTCGCAGGATAAAATACCAACCTTACAATCATTGTTACGTAGAAAAAAAAAAATTAAATTTAACTTTAAAATAAATTAACTTCTTTTTGGTACCGTGACAAAAAAAAAAAAAAAAAAAAAAAAACTAACTAAAACTAAAACTACTAAACTTTGTACTTAGATAATCAAAACTTTTAAAAATCACTAAAGACATCAAAGAAAGATATCCTCCCTGGTGTTTTGGTAAAAACACGATTAATCAACAAAAACATTAAACTTAAAATGCACTTCCACAACAAAATCTTTAACAGGCTAAATTAAAACTAAATTAACACTATCTCTCACTAAATTAAAACTAATTTATATCTCCAACCTGAAAACACATAAATTTCAGTACAAAATCTAGAGATAGCCTTAAACCTTTGAACATTTCAAATACTACACAGAAATCTCTTCAAAACACCGGGGAAAGATACAATCTCACAATTAAGAAGTCTACTCATCAAAATCAAAATTAAATTCAGTAAACCGATCGTATAGTCACCAACACTAAAACTGATTTTTTTTCTACTACCGCAATATAATTACCCAGGTTCGGTTGAAAAACCATGTTTCCGTAAGGATCACATGGGTGACCTACAGGTAGATCACAATTAATACACACACACAAAAAAAAACATACAATATTAAAGATAATAAACACATTTATTGAAAATTCCCACACATTATAACTTAAGATAGCTGGCCAGACTACCCCTACAAAATCTTTTAAAGTTACTCATAGTTTTTTTTTTTTTTTTTTCATATCAATCTCATATTTAACATTAATCCATTAATACAAAAATCATAGTGAAACACGTCACAGTTCTTAATCATTTAAACAGGAACTCAAGATGATTAAACTCATTTAAAAAGACTAATTTAGAATAAATCATATTGAACATAGCACTTAAACATTAAAACAAAGATTCACTTCCTCCAATTAGTTCAATTAACTTCTGACTATTAAACATTAAATAAAAAAATTACTTTCTCAGCTAGAAATTTGGTAAAAATATTCAATTTTTATCTACTTAACATGTCAACTCTTGCTTTAGTATTAAACATTTCCAAATTTAAAAGGATTATGCATCAAAATAAAACACCAATGAAAATTAAAAAGTCACTCACGAAATCGGCGTACCACCTTTGAGAGACTCAGGGAGCTGCCCCGATCTAAATTACAAATCCCGAAACAATAACTGCCAAATCTTCATCGTTGTTTTCCGGAACCGGAGCCTTTTTTCATAGTTCCAGTTTAAAGTTTTCAAATTCCTCCGTTAAGCAGCACTTTCAACGCAATCAACTTCCCGTTTTCGAAGTTCCACTGAAGATAAGAGAAGAGGTCGAAAACTGGAGACAACAGACCAAGGCAGACCTCAGGAGATGACGACTTTCCATATTTCCATCTTTTTTCGAAAGCAAAATAGATAACTCCAGCACGAACGAGCAGTTCAGACTCTTCCACAAATGGGAAAAGAAATAACTCAGCGACGAAATTGAAAATAATAGGCCGCAAGACAGGGAATTGCCGCCGACAAACATGACGAGCACCCGCACTATCTCGGACCACTCCGTAACCCAGAAATCTCGGAGATAAACAACTTAACTGTATACCGCGGTCGACCACCGAAGAACCGCCGCGTTTTTCCTCCGCTCCATCTCAGCACCTCACTGACCGCGGCCGGCCCCGTAGGGGCCGCCGTCAAAGTAGCAAACCCGCTAAGGCTCCAAAAAAAACCTCTTACTAAAAAAGTCTTCTCTAAAAATCGCTTTTTTTTTTTAAGTCCAAAAACGATCCCCTCTTGCCTCCCGTGCAACGGCTTAAGAAACACCCAGTTGACACTCAAAAGAAACGCCTCAAAATTACTATTGGTTCAAACTAACACTAAAATTAAAAATTTAGCCAATCTTAAGGAAACTTGGACTCCCTTTCGCCACATTAAAAGAAAAAGTAATAAATAGCCACTGAAATTCTCAGAAATTCAGAACTTTCTACAAGAAGACAGACCCTTTCTTTCCCACGCAACAGAAAGAATGTTTCCAACCTATAACTCTGTCAAACTTGCGAAATCGCTTAGGCTCTTAGAACTATTCGCCTCTGAAAGAGCAAAACACGTGTTTCGCCTCAACCCCCGGGATCGAAAAAAGGGGAAAATGCAGCTGGACAGTCTGACCTCTAACCTCCAAAGAAGCCGAATCGTGAGAAACGGAAATACATCCCGCGCCCTTTTAACTGTAACACATATCTTGTCAACTTAAGGGAGCTTTGCCGTAAAGTTTAACAATATTAAATATTATACATTAATTTAAAATAAGCTCAATACAAATTCATTAACACAGTAAAATATTATAATAACTAAGAATACATTATGCACAGTAAAATAACATGCAATAATTATATACAACAAAAATAAAATACATAAGAATTTACATAACATCATCATTTCATCAATATTTACTTACCTGGAAGAACACTTACCTAACAATGGGATGTTTGGTATCATCGTTCAAAGACACTGCTCCTGTGAGAATACTCGATAATGGGCATGTCTCAAAGTGAACACCGGATTTGAGGCACTGGGAGTAGATTTCAGGGTCGTCAACAACATGGTAGCCATGACCTATTCTTTCTACTAAAAGTTCTTCTAAGGAGAATTTAACTTGAGAAGCTGGACCATCTTCGCCTGCATGAGCAGTACGATGTATGCTCATGGATGCTGCCTTCTTTATATGCATTAAAGGTTTGAATAAAAAATAATCTTTATTACTAAAGAACCGTAGAATTAAATATATACTTCATGTAAATGAAAATTATTGGTAAGAATATCGAAAAAAGTGTTATAGATTGCTTACTGGGGAAAACATTATGGTTTTTGGGTTAATATACACAAATCTGGTGGTAATAGCATGTGTTATTAAATGTGTTATTGAAAGTATTGTTCAGTAAAGTACCAAAAACATGCAAAGTCTCGAAAGTAGAAATCGTTTTACTTGCTTTTAAATATTTTAAGTACAGTGGATGGACAAAAATATGGAAACACCTTGTGAAATGCATGTTTGAAAAGAAAGATTGATTTTAATGAAATATGTAGGTGGCGCTGGCGTTTTTGACTACTGACGCGACCTACACAACTTCGTAAATGTGCTAAACAGTTCAGTTGTTGTCGGAGTACTGTTATGTGAGGTTGTCATTGCATTATGTCAGAGTTAACAGACTTCGAACGTGGGCAAATTTTTGGAGCACGTATGGTAGGTGCTTCCGTAAGCAAGGTAGCCGAGGTGTTTAGTGTTTCAAGAGGTACTGTATCGAAGATTTATTCCGCATATTTGAAAAGCGGAAAAACATCATCTGCTAAATCACAGCGCGGACGAAAGTGTGTCCTGAGTGATCGTGACAGACGATGGCAATTGTGACGAAAAATAAGGCAAAAGTTACTGCTGAAATGAATGTTGTGTTACCGAACACTGTGAGTACCAAAACAATTAGAAGGGAGCTTCATAAACAGGGAATTGCTGGCCTGGCTGCAATTGAGAAGCCACTCATCAGTGATGCTAATGCCCGTAACAGGAAAAGGTGGTGTTTAAGTCATAAAGCCTGCACTATAGAGCAGTGGAAGTGAGTAATATGATCCCACGAGTCTTCTTTCACATTGTTTCCCACTTCTGGCCGAGTTTACGTCTGGAGAACACCATCTCAAGCCTATAATACAGACTGCTTGTTGCCAAGAGTGAAACATGGCGGGGGTTCTGTTATGGTTTGGGCAGCCATATCGTGGTTCTCTGCTAGCCCAATGATAACTGTGTCAGGGCATATCACTGCCAAGACTTATGTGAACATTTTGGCCGATCACGTTCATCCCATGGTACAAACTTTGTTCCCCGATGGTGATGGTGTCTTCCAAGACGACAAAGCCCCTGTTCACACAGCTAACATTGTCCAGGACTGGTTTCCTGAGCTCGAGGATGAGTTATCCCATCTACCCTGGCCACCATAGTCACCAGACCTGAATATTATCGAACCTTTGTGGTCTACATTGGAACGGAAAGTGCGTTCTCGTTATCCACCGCCAACATCGTTATCTGAACTTGCCACCGTTTTGCAGGAAGAATGGTATAATATTCCCTTGGCAAACATACAGGAACTGTATTTATCCATTCTGAGAAGACTGCAAGCTGTTTTGGATGCCAACGGGTTTCCTACACCATATTAAGCAAAGAAACATGTTTTTTTAAAGGTGTTTCCATATTTTTGTCCAACCCCTGTATGTATTTCCCTTAAACATTAATTATCTTGAATCTTAAGTTGTATAACACACTTTCAGTGACCACGGGGCGTAAGAAACTCTAAATATAAGATGCGTATTTTGAAAATCAAATTTGCATGAGATGGAAAAATTTATGAAAAGCAGTAAAATTAAATATTCTTTGAAAAAGCTATTATGTCAATCTCGCACTAATCTGCAATTTAATTTCCAAATGAATGCAACTATTTTGATCGAAACGGCTTCTAACGCTGTTGGCTAAGAATTCTCAAAAAATATTAACCAAATTTTATTTTTTAAGATTCTGAATATTTTTGTAATATTATTACATAGTATAATATTACAATATGTAAACAAAAAGACAAATTTTAAAATTTCTCCGTACGTTTCTCACTAAAATTTACAAAATTTAATATTTAGGCACAATTTGAGGTGTAGAATCGAAACATGGGAAAAAAATCCGTACGTTATTTCAGAAAACGTCCGATTTTGTGTCAAAATAACTTTATTTCAGAAAAAGTATGATTTTGGGTCAAAATAACTTTATTTCAGAAAACGTCCGATTTTAGGTCAAAATAACTTTATTTCAGAAAAAGTCAGATTTTAGGTCAAAATAACTTTATTTCAGAAAAAGTCAGATTTTGTGTCAAAATAACTTGATTTCAGAAAAAGTCCGATTTTATGTCAAAATAATTTGATTTCAGAAAAACTCCGATTTTATGCCAAAATAACTTGATTTCAGAAAAAGTCCGATTTTGTGTCAAAATAACTTGATTTCAGAAAAAGTCCGATTTTATGTCAAAATAACTTTCAGAAAAAAGTCCAAGTTTGTGTCAAAATAACTACGTTAGAGAAATGCTATATATAAATCTAATATACATCCCAAGTCGTGCTTTGGAGACATGAAAAACTCAAATTATATGTTGTCAAGCTACCCAGTAAAACGGGAGATGTTAGAACTGTCCCTTTTTTTGTTGTGCAAGGTGTATAATTATCTACACAAATGTGAGTATGTTTACAATATTAACATCAAGCATTAAATTTTTATTTACCTGCAAGCTACTGCACTTAAAGAATCAAAAGTAATACGCAATTTTTAAAATTTACAAATAAAAATTCACATAAGCTACAGTAAGTAATAAAACATTTGTATGTATATAACAATGGCAGCATCAAGTTGAACTTAATTGCATACATAAAAAAGAAAAATCGGAAAGCTTTCATATTTTATATTACTCCCAAAGGCGCATTTTTTTTAACGTTTTTTGTGTTACCTTAATTTATCAAATATCATGTTCTTCGCACTTAATCCACAAAATTAAATTCAACAACAATATCGCAAAATAGTTTTAAAAAGAGCAAATCTTTAGAACTTCCGATACACAGTCTCGCGCGCTGGAGATAATTCCCCCCCCCGTAAAGTGTTACAATATTTCGCTTTGAAAACGTCAGTCTCTTAATCAAAAATTCATTTAAAGTTTCACAAAATACGAAATAGATAATAAAACAAATTTCAAAGTCCAAGTTCGGGCTTCCAGATTCTTTAGTCTAGTGGAGGAGAACTTATTGAAAATTTGATGTCTCTAGGTACCGTTGTTTTTTTTGCAGAGCAAGAAACATACATACATTCATGCAGATTCATTATTTAATTTCTTTAAATATAATATTTGGTGGCAACAATTTGAAACGTGAACCGATATTTATATTGAACCAACGCAGAATGCCAAAACGAAATTAATAGCCTTTCCGGGCTAAAACCCTTTGGGGTAAAAATCAATAAATTCTCTAGAAAAATAAGAAAAAAAATTTGGGTGCAAGTTATCTTAAAATATTTAATATGTTTACCTTGAAAATAGCTATATCTTTGTCTGAAGTATGAGTATTAGCCTCAGCATCACCAGCTATATCTATTCCTACAACACCATCATTTTTATATTCAGCACATAGTCGCAGAACATCTTCAGACCACTCTACATAAAAAGGAGAATTATTAAACTTATTTGAAAGCTAAATTTAAGAACATTTCAATGGTTAATAAAAATGATAATTAATAAAATTAATACTTCACAAAATTTTCAAGAAATATCGTATTTAAACCTTACCAGATCTCCCTCGAATACAACAAAGTATGCTTCTGACCTTTATTCCAAACTTCTCGCAACCTCGGGAGAGTCCTTTGTTAACATGTTCAACCACATCTGAAGGTGAAACAGTTCTGGCAGTAGGTAAAGGGGAATCACACTGAGTGGTGGACAGTTCGTGAGGGGCGTACCTTGCTTCGGCGTAGAGTATTCCTTCTTTTGAAGCATCTTCGCAAAATTCGTAAGCCATTCTTTCAATGGCATCAACGTCTCCACTTGAAAAAAATGAAAATAAGTTTCATTCAGGAAGTGAATATATAATTCAGGCAAGTGAATACATAATTCAGGCAAATGAATGTATAATTCAGACAAGTTAATATATAATTCAAGCAGTGAATATATAATTCAGGCAATGAATATATAATTCAGGCAAGTGAATATATAATTCAAGTACAGTGAATATATAATTCAGGCAGTGAATATATAATTCAAGCAGTAAACATATAATTCAGGCAAGTGAATATATAATTCAGGTAGAGTGAATATATAATTCAGGCAGTGAATATATAATTCAAGCATTAAACATATAATTCAGGGAAGTGAATATATAATTCAGGCAAAGAATATATAATTCAGGCAGTGAATATATAATTCAGGTACAGTGAATATATAATTCAGGCTGTGAATATATAATTCAGGTACAGTAAATATAGAATTCAGGCAGAGAATATATAAATCAGGCAGTGAATATAGAATTCAGGAAAATGAATGTATAATCCAGGCAAGTGAATATATAATTCAGGAAGTGAATATATAATTCAGGTACAGTGAATATGTAATTCAGGCAGTGAATATATAATTCAGGAAGTAAATATAGGAAGTAAATATATAATATATAATTCAGGCAAGTGAATATAGAATTCAGGCAGTGGATTATAATTCAAGCAGTAAAAATATAACTATAATTCAGGGAAGCGAATATATAATTAAGGCAAAGAATATATAATTCAGGCAGTGAATATATAATTCAGGTACAGTGAATATATAGTTCAGGTACAGTGAATATATAATTCAGGCAGTGAATAGATAATTCAGGTAGTGAATATATAATTGAGGCAAGTGAATATATAATTCATGTACAGTGAATATGTAATTCAGGCAGTGAATATATAATTCAGGCAAGTAAATATATAATTCAAGCAAGTGAATATATAATTCAGGCAAGTGGATATATAATTCAGGCAGTGAATATATAATTCAGGCAAGTGAATATATAATTCTGGCAAAGAATATATAATTTAGGCAGTGAATATATAATTCAGGCAGTGACTATATGAGTCAGGCAAGTGAATATATAATTCAGGCAGTGAATATATAATTCAGGTACAATGAATATATAATTCAGGCAGTGAATATATAATTCAGGTACAATGAATATGTAATTCAGGTACAGTGAATACATAATTCAGGCAAGTGAATATATAATTCATGCAGTGAATATATAAGGTGTTTCATATGATTACGAATTTTCTACTCGAACAGGTAATTTTAGTAGATAAGTAAAACTGTTGCATTTCTTTTATAGCATGAAATATCTAAAGAGAGACTATACCGAAAAAGCAAGAATACAGGGGCAAGTGCATTTAACATTAAGTAAATGGGTGTCTTGGTAATTTGGCTGACAAGCTGACAAAAATTTTGTAGGCGACATTTTGGTCTAGTGTCTGTATTACTGTAATATGTATTGAAATTGAATAAATGTAATTGACCACTATGAACTTTAACTCCATCCTTGTATTTCTTTTCACTAATTTCGAGAAGCAGAAAATAATAGAAATATCTCTGCAGCCGGTTGAGAGCATATGCTCCTAGTTGCTTACTTAATGTAGTTGCGAATTGTTAGTTCCGCGTGAACTGAGATATCCGAGTTTGCTTTCTCTTTAGGCTGCGCTTTGCATTACATTGTGTTTAACTTCTTGGTAGTTTGACGCGTAACTACTGATTGTACTCTGTGATACTGTGAATACCTGTACAAGTATTTCTTCGGAAAATTATAGAACTTTAAAATGTTTATCTCGGTAAAATAAATTTTTTTATTAGCCTGTCATCGGAACTGTACGCATTCAATCTTCTACGAAACTTTACGCACGTAACAATATTAAATGGGACAAAAAGAAAGCTAACCTGTGAACGCTGTAATTACTTTATTTTCATAAATCAAATTTACACTGAAACTATAGTTATCCAAATTTTGATAGATGTTTTATATGTGCCCATCCGCTGACACTGCTAATATTTATGCAGTACTCCAGTTCCTGCCCCACTTTTGATAGAATAGAATATCCTTTCTTAATAGGTCCAGTACTTCAGTTATCGGCTGCTTCAATTTCTGTAAGTTCTGCGGGAATGGAGACACGAACACTTTGTCTTTAATAAAGCCCAAGGAGATAAATCTGGGGATCTCGGTGGCAAACAAAGCAACGGCATACCTTTGACCCAGCAGGGACAATCCAGCGATGAGGTAGACTATCGTTTAGGTACTTTTTTAATTGAGAAAGCAAATACAAAAATTCCTCGTGTTCTACGAAGTATTCCACGAAGCTTATAGATGTATGTAACTAACTTACAGTACAAGGAAATCAACAATAAAAACATAAAATCTAGGTATGAAGAGAGCAGAGAAAAAATATAAAATACAAATACTATTACAATAAAATACTAAACTATAGCATGAATAATTAAACTATGTTATTACACCTAAAAAGAAAATAAACCAACTTGAAAAATACACTTATATAAAAAATGAAAAATATTTAAAAGTAATGCTGATACGAAGGAAAAATGATACATCAACAGTAGAAAATATCAATACATAACGTAATCATACATAGAAAATACGCAAAATGCTACAATAACCCATAAAAGATAAAAATCCAATCATATTAATAATAATACTAAAAGTTCAAAGAATAAATAAAGTCGCGCAAGACTGCAAAGGCCTCGGAACACCTAACAAGATCATAGAAAACAGGAGACCAGAAAATAGAGAAACTCACTTTAAATGTACTTCTGGCAGTTGCAAATAAAATATGTTCCACTTCTTCCACAGCACCGCCACAAGCATAGAGTCCACTAGTAACAATATTGAAACAAAGTAAGCAAATTCCAAAATTCCCATGACAGATCAAAATCTGAGTATATAATCCGGTTGAAAATGCCTAGACTCAATTCGTTGAAGAACACTTGGAAAAAGTCTGTTTGTCCACTGGATCTTCGAAGAAGTCAGATACTCAACATTCCAATGAACCACAGTTTTCTTCCAAGCCACATGCTTCCAATAAGACTTGGGAACAGACAACATTAAATCAATATCACGATAAGTCGCTTGCTTAGCTAATTGGTCAGCCCTCAACCTCTATGGCCTCGAACGTAGGTAAAATGAACACCTGCAGTATGTTCAGTCGCGTGTAAAATAGAGGTGAATTTCCATCGTCAGTTTTTCAGTCGATTAATGTATCACTTAGAAGAGAGAGAGAGAGGAGAAAGTGAATTTGTGCAAATAAGATATTCAAATGTCTCATTCTTTCGACAGGAGTTTTGTATCCAATTAACGGCAAGATTTAAGCCCAGAAGCTCGGCTTGAAAACCAGAACATACCGTATTTTTCGCCGTATAAGACGCACTTTTTCTCCCCAAAATCAGGGGGGGGGGAAGTGCCTGCGTCTTATACGGCAAATACAAAAGCCCACCATGGCCCTCCGCTGCCCCTCCACCTCTGCATACATACCTTACCGCAGGAATACTCGGCCACTCCGTTCCCTTCTACCTCTTGGCGCCGTCTGAGACCAGGAAGCCCCGCTCTGCCTCGCACTGTATTTGGACGGTCTCTGCCTCGCGCTGCGATTGGCTGAGCAAAGAGGCGCGTGCCTTCGCTCGCTCCCGCACTGGCTTTGTGCACTTTTTAGAGTCTCATAAGCCAGCGCGGGAGCGGGTGAAGGCACGAGTCTCTTCGCTCAGCCAATCGCAGTGCGGGAGCAATCGGGAGCGCGAGGCGCGGATAGCTGTGAGCTGTGATATATGTAGTATGGTATATATCTGAATGAAATATATCATATTTCATACCACCCCATCAAGATGTCGAAGCAGAAGATACTGGCATATAAAGTTGCTTTCAAGCTGGAAGTAATAAAATTTGCTAAGGAGCATGGAAACAGAGCAGCGGAGAGACACTTTGGGCCACCTCCAACTGAGAAAATGATAAGAGAGTGGAGAAACAGGAGGATCAGCTCCAAAGTTGGATAAAAGCAAGCACACCTTGCGTGGACCAACTGCAAAGTGGCCAGAGTTAGAGGTAGAAGTAAAGGAGTGGATCACACGTCACCGGCAAAATGGACTTTCTGTCTCAACAAAAATGATAATCTATGAGGCCAAACGCATTGCTGTGGAGAAAGGCATTCAGGATTTCACCGGATCACCATCGTGGTGCTATAGATTTATGAAGAGATCTGGCCTTTCTATGCGCACCAAAACCAGAATTGCACAAAAAATGCCAAAGGAATACTATCACACAAGTGTGTGAATGGGTTAAAAGGTCATGGGACTCCGCAAAGAAAGACATTGTTGTAAAATCATTCAAGAAGTGTGGCATTAGTAATGCCTTGGATGGAACAGAAGACGACGTCTTATTTGACACCAGTGAGGAAGAAAGTGATGACAATAACTTCCTCATTTCTGATAGCAGCGAAGAAGAGGAATTCTTGGGGTTAGAATAAAAACATGACAGCCTTATTTTTGTTACTTTCACTGTTTGCTGACTGTTTATGAGAGTAAAGATAGCTCTTAGTATGTTACATGGTTGACATAAAATTTTTCTTAAACTGCTGTTAACTTTATACAGTTGATATAAAATATTTTACTACAGAATTTGGTTCATAATCTTTTTTTTCTAGATTTGCCTCCTTTAAAATTGGGTGCGTCTTATATGCCGGTGCGTCTTATACGGCGAAAAATGCGGTACATCTGGTATCCTATATTGAACAGTTACATTCTCCCTGCTGTTGTCGTAAATAACAAATGCGAAGCCATGGCGTACGTTTATATGCCAATATGGTGAAGCACGGTTTTGCTACAGAATGCAGCTGGGCACCGCTTCCTCCAACTGAGGGAACAACCATTCTGATAACATTAGCTTGGTAAATGTACCTGTTATTCGGTGTTTGTACCGTGTACAGTGGAACCTCGAGATTCGAGTTTAATTCTTTCCAGCATTGAGCTCGTAACCAGAATTTTTCGTACCTAGAAACGAATCCACATTGAAAATAATGCAAATCTAGTTAATCCGTTCCGCACTCCCAAAAATTTCATTACTGTGGGATGGCATCATTCCTTATAATCGGCTGACGCAACGAGCTGTGAGAATAAATCTTTTACTTTTCCGGTGATAGAAGTCAGACGATTCCGCCATTAAGACGACGATGCGACTGAAAGATGTTTACATGTAAAAGACGGTCGATTCTCTTCATCTGTAAATATCATCTATGTAAATTCATCCTTCTACACATGTAATCATTTTGTAGTTTGTAGCAACTATTCATGTTTCATTAAATTATCGAGTATTCCATAAATCGGACTAGTTTATTAGCCCCTAGACAGCCACCTAAGAAGTAAGTTTACAGACATCATATTCCTAGACAGTAAGTACCAATTCTACATTACCATCTCATCTTCAGTCGACGTACTTGGTGGTTTTCGGAGAAGGTCCAAGTACAGATTCTTACCCTTAGTGCAAATAATAGCTTCCGACACCGAATCGCCTTTTAACTGCTTCTCGTTTATCCACACCAACAACAGCTTCTTAACATCTTGTGGACGGTGCTTGGAAATAATGGTAACTCATTTGCCCACATCAGATTTCTTACTTTCTTCCTTCTTCTTTAAAGCAGATCGTTGATGTCGAACGGCCATAAGTTTTTGCCAATTCCATCACTTTTACACCACGCCCCCTTATGTTTATCTATGACTTCTTTCTTAATTTCTGAAAATACCAAGAGCTGGAGCAGGTGTTTCTGTACGCTTGGAGTAAAAAGGACTTAGCTCCGGGTAGTAATTTCCGAAATTATCAAGAAATGCAGCAGGTGTTTTTTGTACGCTTGGAGTAAAAAGGACTTAGCTCCGGGTAGTAATTTCCGAAATTATCAAGAAATGCAGCAGGTGTTTTTTGTACGCTTGGAGTAAAAAGGACTTAGCCCCTGTTAGTAATTTCCGAAAATATCAAGACATGGAGCAGGTGTTTTTTGCACGCTTGGAGTAAAAAGGACTTAGCTTCGAGTAGTAATTTCCGAAAATATCAAGACATGGAGCAGGTGTTTTTTGCACGCTTGGAGTAAAAAGGACTTAGCTCCGAGTAGTAATTTTCGAAAATATCAAGAGACGGAGCAGGTGTTTTTTGCACGCTTGGAAAAAAAAGGACTTAGCCCCTGTTAGTAATTTCCGAAAATATCAAGACATGGAGCAGGTGTTTTTTGCACGCTTGGAGTAAAAAGGACTTAGCTTCGAGTAGTAATTTCCGAAAATATCAAGAGATGGAGCTGGTGCTTTTAGTTGAGTTAAACTGCTACAGGGTAAGGTTTGCTTACTTGGTGTTATACTTCACGCCCTGCTGTTCTTGGTTACTTTTAGTGTACGAGAACTGTATTTTCATTAACACTGTTGTGCTTTTCTATTTTCTCACATGTATGATGAAAGCTCAAATGATCGTGAACCTATCAGTTTGGGATCATCTGACGAATACTATCCGAGGACAATAACAACGAACGGTCAAGAAAGAAAAGAAACGTATAGAATTGAGATCTCTAAAAACAAACAAAAAATGAGTCGCAATGAATGTATATTTCAACTAGAGGGAACGTTATTCCTCTAAGAAATACTGGTTCATAGAGAGCACAATTTGACAAGCAGTGATGCTGAAGAAACTGAAGGTGAATTCTAAGATGAGTAATGAAGATTACCTATATAAGACTACTTCACTGAATTAATGAATAATGAAGAGTACCTATTAAAGAGTATTTCATTGAATTAATGAATAATGAAGAGTACTTCATTAATGAAGTACTTAATTTAATAATGAGTAGTAAAAGTACTAACAGAGTAATAGAAGTAATTAGTAATAGAAGAGTATTAAGTAATGAAACCATTATTAAATCAACAGTATATCAGTTAATAAATAATAAAGAGTACTTCATTGAATTAATGATTGTATGTAATACTGACAGGAATGCATATTGAAATTATGAATAATGAAGAATTAATGAATAATGAAGAGTACTTCATTAATGAAGTACTTAATTCAATAATGAGTAGTAGAAGTACTAACAGAGTAATAGAAGTAATTAGTAATAGAAGAGTATTAAGTAATGAAATCATTATTAAATAAACAGTATATCAGTTAATAATAAAGAGTACTTCATTGAATTAATGATTGTATGTAATACTGACAGGAATGCATATTGAAATGAACATTTTCGCATTATACACTTGTATAATCTTATTTTTTTTCATATATATATATATATATATATTTTAAATATTTTTTCATAAATATTCTCTTTCATTTGTTAATGAAAGTTCATTTATTAATTCAATGCCTCTCACAGGCATTGAATTTTAGATTTTTCTCACCTAAAAATGGGCAATTTAATGACCATTGGGACAATAAGGGCCTAGCTCCTAAATTTATAAAAGGCCCAACAGTGGACAAGAGTAAAGTCGTTGAAAGCTATTAATTCGATCAGAGGTTCGAATCTTGCAAACAGACTGGTTGTAAGGGCGTTTTCGTTGTTTTCCCTATGCGTAACGTGTATACGAATCAGTTACTTTAGAAAGTCTTTCACGATGGCATCCCTTCCCTTAGGCAGATATAGTTTGAGGCTTTGCCGTGATCATATAAACCAAAACTAAATTTAAACAATGTTTCAAATCACATATGAAACTGCATTCTCGTAACAGGACAACATAGTGCCGGACAAATGTGAGAGACAAATATCAAAGAATTTGCCAGCAAGAGGCTATGTTGCTAACAGCGTAAACACTTTAATAATAACTTTAATAAACACTTTAATAGAGGAGAATAACTATTGCATTCATTGCAAACGCCACAGAGATAATTTTAAGCTTATGCTCCGCGCCTATTGAGATATTTAATAATAATGTATGTAACCTTGAATGATTTCCCGTTACATTTTATTTTAAATAATGTACGTAATACATAATTTTTATCATCACTTACATTATTAATCTGCTTAATGAAAGGAAAAATGTTCCTGCCGCAATGAATTACTACAGAATAATTATTTTATGCCGCTTTGCTACAGAATAATTATTTTATTTACTTGTCAGTGTAAAATCGAGGTCGCTTCACAGTTTTTTTAATGCTGCCTTTCAGTGTTGCTTATATATACATAAGAATATTGAAATAAATGTTAACACATTTTTGTGGTATATTTTTAAAGAATGTTATTTACGGAAAATGAAAAAATGTAAAAACGTATAATAAAAAGTAAAAGGTGTAGTATAGTTAAAAATAAATAGTTAGAAGTTTAAGTATAGGTTAGAAGTTATAAAGTGGAATATAGTTAGAAGAGACCATAAATTATTATTTTACTTACAAATACGACCTAACTGAGCACACATTCTGATACGGTAATAGCCGTAAAAAATCATTTTTATTACCTCTTTTAATGAGCACAAATGTTTAAAAGATAAGTTAAAAAATGAAATTTTGAAATTTAAAAAAAATTTTCCGAAAATTTAAAAATGTGGACCTTAGCCTTTCTTGCTTTTTGATTCAATTTTAATCAAATATTTTTTTCTAATATATTTCACTTTTCGTTTTGCATGGTCAGTCCGAAGAGTAAAATTAATCGGCACTGATTAGAGATGACGACAAATTCTTAAATTCGTCAATAAAGTTTAATTATATTTAAATGCTTTAATTAAATTTGTTTCAGATAAAATTCATTTGATACAGAATTTAAGAAAAGGATCGAAAGAGGTAATTTAAGCGAGTCATTTATTTAGGTCAATCAAATAATGCATCATTAAATAAATATGTGACTAATAGGGAATTCATAATTAAATACTTACGTCATAACAGGCAAAAATATTAAAAAAGGACTCAAGAAATTTTTCAATGTAGATGGTTCCTTCACTAGACAAGCCATCTGAAGTTCATCAAAGGTTTTCGTTTGTAGTTGAATTCCTCTTCGCCTGCAAATATTAAAAATGCAAATCAAAATTATAATTTTTTAGAAGAATGCTTAATATATTTAGGAAAATAAACAATCAAGCTGAAAAATCCATCTCCTTTCAAAGCTTATTTATTTTTTCGAACTTATTGCAAATTTTTAATTTTTTTGTTTCTTCTATTCCGAGACGTAAAGACGTTATTCCGCTTAAAAGATGGTGATTACGATTTAAAATTAAGGCTCTCAAAAGAGAAAGAGATATTAGAAAAAATGGCCCAAAAGGAGATATTAGTCCAAAAATGGCATTTTGTATCGTTTAACTATAAACGGTGAATCACTTTTAAAATTCTTACCACCAAATATTATCGCCCTCTATTATTTTTAAAGAAATTACATACTAAATATGCATGTATTATGTATGTTCTTCACTTTGTGAAGAAACGACGATTCTTAGAGTTATCAAATTTTGAATAACGTATTTCTCCGCGCACATGGAAGCTCGAATTTTACATTTCATGTTTTGTAAAACGTTAGTGAATTTTTGATTAACAAGCTCAAAAGTCTGAAAGCCAGTAGTGGCTGTACGGAATAAAGGACTTTTATTTCCAGCGCGCGAGACTTTCCATCGGAATTCCTAAAGATATGTTGTTTTAAATATTTTGTTACTTTTGCTGTTGAATTGAATTCCATGTGGAGTAAGAGCTAAGAATATGATATTTTATAAATAAAGTTAACACACAAAAAGTTAATAATAAAAAGACAAAAAAGTTCTTCAAGCTATTTTAATTAGAAAATTAATATTAATATTAAAAGTGAGAAAATAATAAAAAACGAAAAGTAAAAAAGAAAATCTGAAAGGTTTTAGATTTTAAATTACGTCGAAAGGAAATTTTTTTTGACATTTTGTGTTACCTTTATTTATTAAAT